ATCAGAGCGACACAGAACCGACTTGCTTTTTGAATCACGCAGGTTCAAAAATACTTCACTGAACTGGGATCATGGAGTCAGGATCATCTAATGCAGTCAGGTTATTTACTAAAAAGGTTAATGGCACAAAATAAAAGACTCTATAGTGGTGTGATACGCTCTGAATGAAGGCAACGATCACACTGCTCCTCTTTGTCTGACTCCTGCATGGTAAACATCTCGAGGCCAAGAAGCGAGAGCAATGACCTGCGCTCTGTGTCAATTATTTATTGTATTCTTAACCCAACACTAACAGCTCTCCTAAATGGCAAGAAAAGTTCCTTGCTTAGAGTTCTCCGTTGAAAGGTTTGGGCAAATAGTGATAATAGTAAATGGCAGTACTGCTGTGCTGTCTCTGATTGAAAACTTAAATGGAAAAGAAGGTTGCATGGCTATTTGAATGTTTGTGGTCATGATACATGGTAGCAGGCAGGTTTCAAGGACCTTTAAAAACCCTTTTTGTTTAATTTCCAACAGCTGAAAATATCAGAGGGACAACTCAGGGTGAGCCATATGGAGAGGCAAGGTTTGGATGGTTTGGGAATGTGCAGAGGAGGGAGGGTGATAAATATTAATTAATATTTTTTGTAATGAAAAAATATACCTCAAACGTTCTTTATGAAATGAGTGACTCTTTTGTACTGACTGTTATTTCTATTTTATTCACAGCCTATAGAACATTTAAACAACAGAAGCAGACCCAAAGTGCTTTAGAGACAAGAACATTATCATTCCAGGTGGTTAAAAGTATTGATAATGGTATTCGTAATACTGGCCCTGTAATTACTTCGTATCAGATCTATACAATAATTTGTAGTATTGCACAGCACCAGTTCATGGATGTTGTGAACGAGGACATACAGGGGGGTGAAATTAGAGCAGTGGAGACACCTATAGGAAGCAACTGAAAGAAAAAGACACAGTAATATGTACACAGTTCAACCTTTTGGTTTTCATATTATTTATATCTTTAAAAAATAATAATGATAAATAAAATAACGAAACAAAATCATTAAAATAAACGAAAAGACTAAAGAAATAAAGCAAATCTTTATAAACTCACTCCGGCATATTTTCTGTTTGGCCCACAGTTGGAGGGATCTGATTGGCTGCAGTCCGGACCAATGAGAGAGAAGAGCGGCAGGCGCGTGAAACATGGAGGAAAGCTTGAACCAAAACAGAGATTTTGCCTACTGTAAAAGCTAAAAAAATGCGATTTAAGACGATTTATTTTGCCCGCTATTACTAAGTGAAGGTTCTGTGAAGGCGTTTTGTGAGCGGACAGTGAGAGTGAAATGTCTCTGAGTGCTACGTGTGAGTCGGTGTCTCAGAAAAGGACTCTGTCGAGCCTTCTCGGTGAGTTTGACAGCTGCACCCACCGTCAACACTGAACACGGAGATAATAGAAATGTTTTGAAACAAGCCTTTCATGCAGCATTATTTTGTTTTTTTTATTGTTGTCTTCCTAGCTGGTCGTGAGCTGAAGAGGCCTAAGCTGACAGATGCCCAGAGGCTGCAGGAGGCAGCGATCCAGCTGTTGGAGCAGCAGCAGAACATCCGCAGCCTGTTCAGAGAGGTCGGGGTGAGTGAGGGGAGAGAAGCTAAGGGCCTACACTGAGTCATTTCATTAAGATTTTATTCTGTAGACTGAACATGTAACAACGCACAGGTTTGTCAGGAGTTTAAAAGAGAAACGATAACCTTCAACTTGGAATCACAAGCACAGAGTGATTGCAGGAAGTGCATGAAATGCTTTTAGAGATAAGAAAAAACAAAAAACAGTTTCACTCTGCACTATTTTGCAAATATCACATATATGTTTTTTCAACTTTTTGTAGCAATCTGAGACATGCAACCTGTCCTCTCATCAGGATGGAGAGAAGAATCAAGTGGCGTCCGAAGGTCTCTCATCCACCATCACTGGGTCACTGCTGGGTGAGTCGAGCACTCTGAAATGCTCTCTGAGCTGTGCGCCGCTTTTGTTAAATGTGTGGAAAGCTGCTGCTTAACACAGAGTAACTGACTAATAAAATTCTACAATTTCACTCTCCAAAACTGAAGCACTAACCTTTTTAGATGGCCTGTACACGACAATAAGCCATAATACCAGTCAGATAATTCATTTAAAAGTTCTCCGGTGAGCACCAACAGCTTAAACATAATCAAGAGGTCTTATTCACTGACTCCAGGTATTACAGGTGATCCCAGGTTGTAGTGCTTAATATATTGTCTTGGCAAGCTCAAGGATGCTGGTTTGATTCCAGCTGGAGGCATAAATCCCCTCTGGGGTTGCGTCAGGAACGCGTTCAGTGTAAAAAACTGACAAATCAAACATGCATTTTCCTGCTGGGGTGACCCCTCGTGACACCTTACTAAGTAAAGTGTTTTCATTGCTCTAATACAACTATTGTCACTTTAATCAGTTATGTTTGTGTCTGCTGAAAGCAAAACATCTGAATTTGTCTTGATTATACTGTACTGTAGTGCACAGCTCTCATCAATGATGGGATTCAATGGCTGAAATAAGCTCATTGCTGCAGTTACCAGTGAATCTGTCTTGAAACATTTGCGCAAACACATGAGGTGATGTGGCGCACCCAACATTTCTTTGTACATGTACAATGACTATAAAGGGCTATTCTATTGCTCTATTTCATGGAAGGGCAAAAATGCCAAAATGCTTTTGCATGAAAGTGATTATTATGAATGGAACCTGTGGTCCTTTAGTTGTGTGCAAAAATATCAGAAATTCAGTTTTGTTGTCTTCTTCAGATGTCTCTTTTTTGTTTTGTGCTTTTATATCCCTTAATGTGACTTGTGGAATTTGAGTGCCACCTAAAACCAACGTAATTGTTGCATAAAGTTAATGTTTTGTGTTGCACTGTGTGGATAGCGAGTGAGCTGAGGCGTCAAGCTGTGCAGCTGGGTGTCCCAGTGGCAGTGCTGTCGGTGAAGACGGTGTTGGAGAGACTGAAGGAGATCACAGAGGAAACCAGCGAAAGGGAGGAAGAGGAGGAGGAGACAAAGAGAGAGATGCTCACTTCCTCTCAGAGAGTGAGTAACTGCCAGAGCATCTGACCATCTAGTGCACATGTGTCGAACTCCAGGCCTTTAGGGCCGCTGTCTTGCTTGTTTTCCAACTAACCTGCCCTTGTAGCTTCTTATTGGCAAAGCACACCTGATCCAGGTAATCAGCAGCAGGTAGGGCAGGGATATCTCAAAAACAAGTAGTAGGCTGGCCCTCAAGGACTGGTGTTTGACACCCCTGATCTAATGTGATTATGGTGGAAGCATCTGAGGCAGTGGTGGATTCATCTGTTAATAGCTGCCAAACTTTCATATCTACATGCTGATCTGCACGGTTTGCTCAAAAACAAGCAACAAAAAAGACAAATATTGTTGGATATAATGTCTGGAACTTTCTGGCTAAAGAAGCAACAGTCTGTTCCTTCTTGTTTTAAATTTTGAAATTTCTCTTTATCATGCCCAGTCCAGCTATCCCTTTTCCCCCGAATTAAGTCTTTTCCTGTCCTCCTTCCAGGTCCAGCTGTGTGTTCTGTTGGAATCCAGCAGAGAATTGCTGTCACAAGGAGCCATCTGCCCCAAACTGCTTTGGCAGGAGTACATGAGAGATCAGGTGTGTGTACACACAGGAGCTTGTATACTGTAAATAAGCAGTTATATCACCCATTGAGAAGATAGGTGTAGCTCTTTGAAACCACATACTCACAATCCCTGGACAGGTTGTGCGATCAAGGGACTCTGCAGCTGACTTGATAAAGTCATATGACTTCTTTTTGAGTGGAGAGTTGCTGCCATCTATGCAGTCAGTCAGTCAGTCACACTTTGGACCCCTTAGGACCAACTGGGCATCATTTAAAAACACCACAGCTTACCTGTGTCTGGTAGTTGAACTTGTCCATCCCTTTATAACCACGGTGTACCCATCTTCTGACGGCTGCTTCCAGCAGGACAACACACCATGTCACAAAGCTCAAATGATCTCAAACTGGTTTTTTAAACATGACAATGACCTCACTGTACTCAGATCGCTTCTAGAGTCACCGGATCTCCATTAGAGCACCTTTGGGATGTGTTGGAATGGGAGAATAAAATTAAAATGTTTCCAGCACATTGTTGAATTTGTGGCACAAAGAATTAAAGAAGTTCTGAGAGACAAAGGGGGTCTAACCCGATACGACCAAGGTGAACCTGAAAAAGAGTCGGGTGAGTGTAGTTTGAATGAAGCAGTGAGGTAGTGAGAAAAGAGAAACTTTGACTTTGACACAGAACAACCGTCCACATATGTTTAATTTATTTTGCTTTTCTAGACTTTGCCCAGTGTTGTTGGTGGAATATTAACCAACTTTCTGTTGGACTCAAAAAAAGAATCAATATTTGGATCCATCCCTTTCTGCTTTCTCTGTCCAAGCCACAGTAGTTTATTTAGCTGTATCTCTGCATCAGAAAGATTAAAAAACAAGTTGGAGAGTTACATGAAACTTGGTGGAGAAGCTCTGTCTGTAACCTTCTAG